GCTTTTACAGCAAAAAGGTTTAACATTCGTATCGATTGTTTAAGCATCGTTAATAATCCTATTCTAAGACAATGTGCTATTATAAAAAAAGGATTGTACGGTAGTGGCAAAAAAAGAAATATTTAAATTTGCAATAACAAATTTTATAATATGACAAATTTGCTTTTGTTAAAAGCGTATAAACATTTATTACTAATAAGCAGTGTATTTATTTATTACGCAAACACAATGCTTATATTAGTTAAATGAAAAAAAAGCTGGCAAAAAAAAAGTATTTTTATTTAAAATTTAGTATGTCGCCTTTTGCCCTTAATAATTAGTTGAATCTGCTGTGTATGCTCTTTACTAACTTTTTACACACATCTACATCTATTTTAATTTATTTCTCTTCAACGCATTTCTTTAACTTATTTATATTTTTTGGTCTTTTTTCCTACTTCTATCTTACGAATATGCCACAATTTTTCTATAGAATTTATGTCGAGAGATTGTGTAAGCCAATCTAAAGTTAAATTTAAATTCTCTCAAATAATTTCTATTACATTTACTCGTATGTTTTAGATAATTATCTTACTATAAAATAAAATTTTTAAGCGAAAGCCTCAAAATAATTGTTTAAATTCTACAGTATGCTTCGCTATTCATTTATCCATCAATATTACATATTTTTCAGACACCTACACTCGAAAAACATGTCCAAACGTTACTACAGCCTTTATGTCTTACTTTCGGGTTTAAATTTTTTTATTATATCTTTGGCCAACTTTCTTCGCACATAAACTCTTTCATCAGATCAAAAAAAAGTTTATTTTTGTTTTTTCACTAGAAATAACCTTATTCCATCTTTGATCAGAGTAGCAAGCATGTTTGCTTGCCCAACGTTTTCTTTTCAAAATATGCTTTTTAGACAAAAATGGTTTTTTACTTGCAATCCTATCATGTGATCCCAATTTACACAAATTATCTCTTATACATTGAACAGATTTTTTTTTTAGTTTCTCTTTTATATTATAAAGCAAGCTTAATACTGCAAATTTGTAAATCTGAATTTATTTTTTTTTCAAATAGGATAAATCATTAATATTAAATAATGAAGGTATTAGAATCTGCTTTTTTTGTCTGTTTTGTTATAGTTTTCTTAAGTTTAGACACTGCTGACCGGCTCATCGAGATCCTTTTTTGCATTTCTGTTTGTTTTGTGCCCTTTTAAAGTAAGCCTTAATTTAAAATTTTTACTTAAAGATAATTTTGTGCCATAGGGAATAAAAATAAAGCTTTTTATAGTCTTAAATGAAATTTGTTTACTAAAAAATATAACTTTTTTTTGCTACCTAAAATAAAAATTTTTCTGTCAATACCAAAAAAAGCTTTAAAAGAACAATGTTAATTGTTGCAAAGTATTTTATAATTTTTTATAAAGTAAAAAACTAAAGGTTGTGGGTATAAAATGTATGATTACTATATTATTTTAATATTCCTTTTTTGCCACCGCTGTACACGCTGAGTATGCAGGCCAGTAATAGGATCTAAAATTTGTATCTATAACAAACAGTGTAATTGTCATAATCATCTGAGCCGGATAGGCTTCTATAAGCTTTCCATTCATTGGAGTGTATAATGCCTCCGGCCTTAACAATAGAATTTATTATAGGAATAAGAACATTTGCAGATCTAGATTCTACAATAGTAGCATATCGAATGCAGGTTTAAGTGATGTATCTACGATATAGAAACACCAACAGGTCTGTGAAATTTACCTCTTGATTCTTCACATTACAACTTAGCTTGGTTTCATCTATTTGCACAATAATATTATGACCTCTCGATTTAATGGAATTATCAATGAAAAATATCACAATTTGTTCGTTGATAATGTTTTGTAGCTTGATTAAAGAAGCTTTCTCAATGCCTAAATGTTCAATAATTTTAGAATAATTATCACCATACGAATAGTAATAATTTGTTTTAGTATTATTTTAATATCAGTTTTAAAAAAGTAGAGCCAAGAATTGAACCGTAGAAAAATGGTTGTCTGATAATGTTGAAAATCATAAAAGCAGCATCTATATTAAACTTATCAAGAATTTCAAAATTATGCACGAGGCGCATATTTTTATGGCAAAACCCAAAAGTTTGTTCATCTTTCATTAAACTTCATCCAAACAATAAACTTAAAATTTCGTTTGCATCTGCTTTAATTATTAGATATAATTCTGTTTCTCTTATCAATTTAAGGGTTAAAAAATTGATATGATATAACAGATCCTCCCAGCCCCTTGGTGGGGAACTGAGAAGATCTGATCCAAGATTTAATAAGATTTTTACTTATTTATTTCTAATTATAATTCAATTTTTGTTTTGGATGAACTTGAATGTTGGTTTTTGATAATATTATTTTGATGTGTAGAGAGGGAAATCTAATGTTAAGGAAGATGCTGTTGAAATGATTAAAAAAGTATAGAAACAAAGTCGCGAACATTTCGTTATATTTATACACTACAGGATTATAAAATTTTATGAAATGAAAGTATTTTTTTACTGATTAAATCAAAAAAGTCGGAAATTTTGCTGATATAGGACCAAAACTATAGACAACTTGAAAAAGTTATTAACAAATATAAATGTATATTTTTAAATGGGCAAGTTAAATTTTTAAAAATTCTAATTATGATGCAGGAATTGAAGCACTAGTATAAATGTTAGCAAAAAATGTAAAATTGTCCTGAGCGGAGGTAAATCGTCTGTTGGTGTTAATTATACTCTGTTTTTGAAAAAAAATTTTTTTAGTCCCCAATGACTAGAAAAGTGAAAACTGAAATCATTGATGCAGAGAGAATATGTAACAGTGAGAGTATCTTAGTTGTTAGAATTAATGAAGTCTTCATTGACAACAGGTTTACAGATGCTACCACATTCAATGTAACACTTTGAAAATTGGTGCTTTTTGCTAATATTATGATATGTAGCGAGTGTCAAAGGCGGTCTTGAATGTGATATGTAAAGCGTAAAAGTGCACAAGATGGCTACAATTAGGTCTTAAAAGGGTTGTATATGCACACATGTTCATTAAAAACAGATAGCTTTTTTGATTTATTTAAGATTGGTTTAAAAACCATTTTCAAAGCTATCTATAGTTACCTTTCTAGACTAATTTTCGTAGATATTGCATATGAACTTAATGTACGACTGTAAACAGCCGATCTTTTATGGAATGTATTTGTGAATATGTGGCTGCCCAAACAATTAGAATAGGCGGGCTAGACTAGCAAGGGTTGCCAAAGTTTGTATAAATTTACGAGATCGTTTTTAAAAGGTAATATAACCGGGGAAGAATTAGAAATAGGGAATGATGCTATCGTGGCCATTCTAATGGTCACTAAGTGAGCGAAATTTGGAGCAAGATGATTGGCTGTTAAAACCACAAATATTGCTGCCCTAAGGAAGGGATAGGTTCAGTTAATAAATTCTTTAATTGAGACAGTTACATAAAAGGTATTGAAAGGGGATCAAAAAGATACTTTATTTTATCTGTAGAAAATAGAATCGCAGCTACTATTGCGCAATTAACTTTAAAAATGTTTTGTCTGGAATGCTATAGTAATAGATGATTGACGTGCATACAATGCTCTACTTAAAACTTTAAATTTATCCACCGTGCCGAATTATGTTAATGAAACGAAAAATTTTTCGATTTATTTTTTGACCCCTTGTGTTCTTTTGTACACACACAACCTATAGAAGGTCTGTGGTCTAAATTAAAGTAATTTTTAAGAAAAAAAATGGTCTATTGCAAAAGCAGCATTTGAGTAATTGGTACAAATTATTTGGATGTATTATATTTATAAGCAGAAGAGGACGAACAAATTGCTAAAATTATTAAATAGATTGATTTTTGTATTTTTCATCAATTTTCAAAACAGCGTATAATTAATACCAACCCATAAACTTTATTTGATTTATATATCAAATTGCACAAATACACGCATAGTCAGCTTTAACGAAAAAATTGTTTAATTAAAATAAAACATTTGGCTAAAAATAGCTTTACTAGGCAGATTTTACAGGGGGCAAAAAAAATTTTTTTTAGCCCTTCTTTAAAAATAAGAAGAATTATGATGACAAACGAAGAAATACAAAATTTGTACTTTCAAGTTAAATTGTCGAAACAAAGGCGAAAATGTCCTCGTTGTTCATCTGATACTCAAATAGAATGTTCCGATGATGCTTTTTTGCGACGCAAATGGAAAAGATGCAGATTGTTATTTACTATCTGGAAAAGCACCTTTTTCAAACACGCACATCTTAACAATATTTTATTGCCTAAGATAATTAAATTATGGTTTACAGGTGCTTCTTGTGGTCTAATGGCGCACATATTAGGCTGCAGTAAACAAAATATAGTCAATACTATAAATAAACTGCAGATCTTTAATATTTATGAGCGTTATTTTAAAGACGTAAAACAAATTATTGAGGAAACAACATCGTTGTAGAAACTGATGAATCAAAAATAGGAAAAGATAAATATAACAGGGGAAAGCCTGTAAAAGGGTTTTGGTATGTTAAAATGTGCCACCGATAAAAAAATAATTTTTATTCTATTAAAAAATTTGATAGGCAGACCTTAATTCCTTTATTATTTAAACACGTTAATACTGAATCCACAATATATTCAGATATGTGAAAAGCTTATTTTAATTTGGGGTTACATTTTTAAAAATACCACATGGTAAATCATTCAGTAACTTTTAGAGATCAAAAAACAGGTGTTCATACTAACACAATAGAGAAAAACTGGCGTTCATTAACAGCCTCTATACCTAATAGGAGTAGGAAAGAAAGACTTGTTGTTTGATTTCTTTCTAGATATATAATTGTTAGAAATGAAACTCCATTACCACTGAAATTCTTATAAAATGTTTAATTTAATTATGTTTGGCATTTTTTTTAATTTATGTCTTCTTACAGATAATTTTCTGCAATAAAAATTGAAAAAGAAACGCTAAAAATAAATTTCTTTTGCCCCTTGTTAAATCTGCCTAAAAAAGTTTTTGCAAACCAAATCAATATATATAAAATATTTATACGATTATAAAAGTTTACACTTAACTACATTATAAATAAATATCTGATTTTTTTTCGCAATTAATAATTTATAAAATGATTTATTTATATATAAACACAAAAAAAAGAATAAATTATACAATGATTGGCTGAAATATTTGCAAAAAATTGCAGATTTTAGTAAAAAAATATCCCCTATAATGCACCTCGCAATGTTTTTGTTTCGTGGGCTTTTTGCAATTCATATCCCTCTGATTTTTGTAAAAAATATGTTTAGTACAATCAAATTACAAGGTAAATGCACCATATTTAG